GAACTTCTCCACCTTTTTTCTTTTCTTTTCTATTTTTTTTTTTTTTTTTTTTAACTTTTTTTTTAATTTTTTTTTTTTTTTTCATTGTTTGTATAAACAACTCTTCTTAAGGCTTTTGTAAGTGAAGCCTGAGCTGGAGCTGACGACAATGATGACGATGATGACGATGCTGGTTGTGTTGGTGGCATGTTTTCTTCTATGCAAATAAACACATACTCAAAAGACATTGGAACTTGTGATGCCACAAATGTTGATGTTGCCTTGTAAAATATGGCTTGATAATTTTTATAATAACAACAGCAACAACAATAAGAACAACAACAGCAATCAGCAACATTATCAGTTGAAATTAAAAAAGAAGAAATGAGAAGAAGTAAAGACTAAACAACAACAAAAGCAATATTTAACAACTTAGGAAATTACAACAATGTACGATATATACGGGACGTTAAGCCAGTAAGCATAGCGTGTCAGGAGCAAAAAAAGCAACACATATACACATATATATGTGCATATATATATATATAATGTATATATGCAAAACCTTAAGCTATTCAGGCCACATTAAGTTCAAGTTCGCTTCTTTTTTTTTTTTTTTTTTTCTTAATATTCATTCCACATACATTGATGGTTTCATTGCTTTTATTATCGTAATTTTTTTTAGTTGTTTTTGATTTTACTTTTATTGTGTGTTTTTGTTGTTGTTTATAATTATTTTAATGTTTCCTCTCATACATTAACTATTGGCCCCTGGTCGCTGGTGTTGTAATTTACTACAATCAGTATAGTTTTATATTAGTAATGATAAACAAAAAAAAAAAAACATCTACATCCGGAGATCGTCTCAGAAATAAAAGAAAATTGTCCTAAATTTTCATAATAAAAACTTCTTACAAGAAAAGCCTCAGATTTCAAGCTAGAAGTTATCAAGGAAGAAAAAATAAAAAAAGAGATAAGAAAATTCTTACTGACTCAAGGCGAATCTTAGATGCCTATCTCATTCAAATTGACTGTAAGCGATTCCCCTCGACAAGCAATAAACTTATACAAGTTTGCATTGCTGCGTGAACTGTGATTTTATTTGGTCAGACGTGTTTCTAAATTAATAGTAGATTCTATACAATTCGTATAGCGTTTATTTTGAATTCGGCAGTAGTTTTGCTTACATTTCTTAACCATGTAACTGGCTTACTCACATTGAATATTTCTAATTTTCTTCTTCTTCTTCTCGCTAATAGAATGATTTTTTGCCACTTAGATAGACAAAAAGTGGAAACAACATATTTTTGTTGCAGACATTTTCCCGTATACTGTTTCTTCTATTTGTTGCTGAATTTCAAATCAGTTGGTTTTTAAATAAAAATAAAAAAAAAATAAATAAATAAACAAAGAAAAGAAAAGGAAAACTATTTTTAAATTTCAATTATTTTCTGCAATAAATTTTCATATTGACTTTTTATTGAAATTTAGTTGGGTGCTGGTACACTGCGATAAATCTTTACATTATTTATGGAAGATATGGAAAAAGAAATTTAGGCATATTAACCTTTTTTTGAAAATCTTTATATCAACTGTAAAATTTTCACTTTTCTCTAATATCATAATTTTTATAATCAAAAGAAAGCGAAGAGAAGAAAAAATGGTAGGAAAATGTAAATAATTTTATACGAGAGTTGTGCAAAAAGTTTTAAAACTTTTCAATTGTCAGGGTGTGTATGCATGCGATTTGAAAATAAGAATCTATTAGCTAGAAGGACTTGTGCTGTAGATGTGTACACATCTGTATACATATGTATATATATGGTTGGTAGCTCCCAAAGTTTACATCCGAGTTGAAATATTTAAAAAGGCAGACTTTCTCATCCTATTGATACCAATTTAAAATTAAAATCAACTTAAATTGCATATCTAATCTATTGTTTATGATCAGTGATGAACAAACATCTTATTATATTGATTTTGTGTGCACCCCGCTTGCTTCCTTTCTACATATATAAAGAACATATTTTTAATCTAAAAAATATATGAAAGCAGTGCAATCGATGAAAAGGCTCTATATCGACCATGCATATATCGACCATGTTACAACACTCGAAGGAGGCGCGAAGAGTTACATAACACGCCTAACTAAAGGGAGAATTCAGAAAATAATCAGACACAATTGCATCAAAGAATATAAGCTTAACAGGAACCTTATAGAAAGCTCGTATAGACAGTTGAAAAACTACATTTAGGCGCTACAAATGATTAGTGAATTTAACATACCTCGCTTTGGGGCGCGAAAATCGTTTAACTGCTTCATGGTTTTTCTGTTAAGTATTTTTCCTTTATATAGCGGCATGTAACAAAATAGAATGCCTGACGTTCATAAAAATAATTAAAGAATATAAATGCGAATAATTTAACCTTTGAAAGTGATAAAAGTTATTGCTAAGCGTAATAAATCCTTCTGGTCTTAACAATAGAAAATTAATTTCAATTTTGATAAAAACGCAAAGAAGTTAAATACACATTAATATCCTCTGGTTGAATGTTAGCAGACCGTATTTAATATCATTCTCTAATAATAAAAGATTGATAGAAGATTTCGGGCATGAATGTCAATTTTTAAAAGGGAAATTAAGAGAAATGCTCGTGAATTAGAGTAAAATTTCGAGTTCACAAATTCGTATTAAAATTTGTTATGTAACTCACTATATATCTTTTGAGGATACACGCGACATCCATAAACGCTTGAGATAGATCCTACCCTCTTCCCTTTATAAGGTCTAAGCTTTTCTGGCTGCCTACCTTTGTGTCCGTCTGTCTGTCTGATATCGATTCAGGTGTTTTTGTGCTGAATTCTTGAGATATTTCGATGAAATTTCGTACACCGATCTGTTGATGATTCGGCGCGTACTTCTTTGTCCCTGTACTTGTATAAATCGTTATATACGAAAATCTAAAACTTTGTAAATAACTGCATCCAGCGAAGTAGTCTTGGATATTTTTTAATGGTCTCCCGTGGTGACCATCTATCTATTACGCTTTTATTTGTCTTTAATGGTTTAAAGGGCTTTTAAGTAAGAAATTTTCGCATTTGAAGGAAGAAAATCTCCACGATATTCGTGAAACAGTTTTTATCTCCAACAGTTTGGTGTTTGGTTTGGCAGAAGGAAAACGGCAACGCAATTTCTTCTGACAGAAATTAGACGACTTCGATTTGCACGAAATGTGATTTCGACAACATGATGGAAAAACACTTCGTCTATCTGATGACACAATTGTGTAAATCCTCGCTGTTCATGGCGATATAACTCTCTTCAGCTTTTCTCACTGGGATCATCTTAAAAGTTGATAAAATTTGAATAAAGAACCAATAGTGCTTGGCCTCACAATTTAAACGATCAGTGATATGATGACGTTGTTATTGTTGTTTTTAAGAAACAATAACGACATTCGAAGGCTTATTGTAAAAGGCTATACAAAGTAGTGTGCAGCACTGGCCGTTAACTACTTTGTCTTGTAAGCACAACATGAATTACGCAATGGCTAACAATGGGAGCTTTGAGATTGAAGTTGAAGCAGGAGAGTAGTGCCGGCTGACTTTGAGCCAAGACATATATACCTATCTAGCGACGTTCTGAACAATTTCGTGTTAATTCCAAAAGCGACTGGTGATTAGCATGTGCAACAATTTTATGGCGACGATAAGATAATTCCGAAAAATACAAAGGCAATGAGATGTCGTAACGTTTCTTGTCAGATGTTAGCGAATTAATTCTCTTTCTTTTCCGGTTATGATATCCAAATATTGGGATCCATTCGATTTTGCGCAAAAAAAAAAAGAAAAAAGTGAACACTAAAATCTCTTTTACTAGACAACTAACGAGCTCCAATGAAGAAACAATAATTTGACTTGTAGACTCGATAAGGATATTTTATGTAAGCTAATAGAACAAAAACGCGTCATGCGCCTTATCTTACAGGCCATTTCGCCGCATTTGTTGGTAGTAAGTGTGAAGTCTATAGCGGCCACTAAAGCTTCTAAAAGACAAAATCTGCACAAAAAGAGCTTCAATTAATTGGTTTCGCCCGATACCTGTTTTCATCTATCAACAGCAAAGAAAACCAACAATTATAGTTTTTTTTTTTTTTTTTTTTTTTTTGCGATAACTTGAAAGCCTGTTAATAATAAACCAATGACCCACTTCGAGAAACGCGTATGTATTACTTGTCATGTAACGTATTTCATTTTCTTTCTCTTTTCTTCATTTATTCATTTATTATTATTAAAAAGTTGAACTTTTGATTTTTATTAGGAACCTTTTAAGCTATTATTTACTAAACAAAAACCACAAAACAAAAACAAGGAAGTGACATCAAATTAAGTAATAAAAGCGTTAAAGAATTCCCATAAAATTGCAATAAAGTGCAGATATAGGATTGAGCTCCCAGCCACTATAACAACAACAAAGCAATGCCAAAAAAAAAAAAAAAAAAAAAAAAAAAACAATCTACTAGAGAAGAGATGAAGAGTTGAGAAAAAAACAAAAAAAAAACCAACAACAACAAATAAATAGATAAATAAATAAATGAATAAATAAATAAACAACATGAAATAGACTAGCAACCTACTTAGTTAGGCGGTGGAAAGGTACACAGTGGATAATAATAGTTAAGCTATTGTTAGAAGGTCCGAAAATAAACAAACAATTAAATCGTAAAGAAATTTTGTTTAGATCAGTAGATGAAATGGCGTTCCTCCTGTCTTTCTCCCAGTTAACTCTTTCTAATCATCGAACATAGAAAAGTTTGAGGCAAAACAAAAGAATGAAAAAGGTTCGAACGCATCCAGAAGAGAGCAAAACTAGAGAGAGAGAGAGAGAGTAATTTTCTCAAGTATGATGGTTTGAAGCTACATGTTTGCTTTCAAACCTTGAACTTGGCTTAAACTCTGCATTGAAGAAGAATACGTTGAAAAATCAAACAAGAAAAAAAAAAACTTCATTTGCTATGCTTGTTACAGCCGATCTATTATTGTTGTTAACAGCAATGGTGTCTGGCCTGGCGTGGCTCTAGGCCCAGTTTGATGATGTTTGCTTCGCTTAGATCAAGGTTGCAGGAAAAATTATTAAAAGACACCGCAAACTCATAATATGAAACATTTAGACCACGACGGTGCTTGTTAACACAACCAATTTAAACGTTTTTTTTTTTTTTTTATTACTTTTCGGTTTTTCGGTTTCGTTAAGAAAACCTAAGAAAAAAAAAAACAAAAGAAGAAAAACGGTTCTCTTCACTCTTCTAATAACTTTTAAGACGGATTTAACGGGAACGCGTTTTAAAGAAGGTGTAGTGACTATTAAATTATATATGTATGTGTGTGCATATGAAAGTGTAGTGCTATTAAATGGCTAAGAAAAATAGAAAAGGAACGAATCTTATTTATTTAAACTGAGTTGCAATTCAAAACTGGAGTCTGTCTATATATTATATCATATATCATACGAACACGATAAACCAAATAAAAAGAAATTTTAAAATTATTTGTCCCTGATTTCAAAGCTACGAAAAAAGAGAAACAAAATTTACAATTACATGAATAAGTTACGAATTAATTAGACGTAGAAATTATTAGGTTATAAAAACAAATTCTCTCAAGCTTTTCGCTTAGCTTATAAGAAAATCCGTATAAGAAAAAAAACCGTATTTCAAGGAAATTTTTGCGAAAAAGAATTAACCGCAACATGGATATGCACTGTTTATTGGCGTTAGGTTCTTTGCTAGTACTAACGTTAGCTTGCTCTCACAACGTTGCAATGAGTCATAGCGATTATCCAGGTGTTATAGAATTGGTGGGCTATAGTAATCGCAGGGCTCGAACTTATTATAAACCCACTCAAGAGCAATTACCACCCGCTTCGGCTAAGATACAAGCAGACATTGAGACAGTCAAGCAAAATATTGAGAAATATAATAAACTTTTAACATTGGACACGAAAAACTTGCCCGAATCTCAAAAGGATATGTTGGAACGTATAGTGGAACGTGTAGCTCGTCTGAAAGAGTCTTTGGATATAAATGAGAAATTAACGCAGGTACTAAACAAAACACAGCCGATGATAGCGACTAAAACTTTAGAGGATAATGAGAACTCGACCGCAAATCCCACCGATACGAGTAGCGCTTTACTAGAGGAGGATCAAGATAAAACTGAGCCTACATTAATTTTGGATGTGACAACTTTACAGCAGCTGCAAACATCTATGGATAAGCTGGAGGCAGTGCAAGGCGCTGTTAGTTCATACACCTCGCAGCAATTGCGGGAAGGCCCTACAACGACTGAGCTAAGTTATGAAACCGAAAGCGATCAAGAGTCTACCGAAGCGGAACAAGATGATGAATACAATGTATTTGAATCAACCACTTTAGAGCCTCTAACTGATACCACGGCCAATGATGAGCAATTTGTGGCGGCCAGAGCTAATAATAATTTAGCAATTACCGCTGCCTCAGACGATACTGATACTGTACCTACGTTTAGTACTACGTTGGGAAGTCAACGTACTTTAACCACTAGCAGCGGTACAAAGATTACTAAAACTAGGGCCACGAAAAGGCCTGGGCACAGTTCAACCAAGAATTCGCATACAATTTCCTCAAACAAACGTAAACCAGTAACGTCATCTTCGGCGTCACTATCTTCGGCTTCGGCAGCTTATGCGAAAGCTTCCAATAAACATAATAACAAATTGCCTTCAACCACAGTAACACAGTCCATATCATCATCCATGCAACAGCATCAACAACAGCAACAACACTATCAACATAGGATTACCCAAAAACCTCTGCCGCCAATCTATCAATCTCAGCCGCCCAAAGCAATATCATCCTCATCACTTGCTACAGATAAATATAGTACATCATCATCGTCTGCTACATCAGCCACGAATGGTCTAACGGTTGATAATAATGCAGTCATCGGCAGCTCTTCCACCTCTGCCACTACCTATCCTGACACAAATTTACCAGCCACTCCAGTCTTAGGTACCGGTTATAGTTCGGCAAATTCACAAAATTTCGTGTACGATAACCATGTTAATACTTCAGCCATAATTTATAGTTTAAATAATGCTCGTGAGGAATTCTATCATCAAAAGCAAACGAATCTGGCCAATCTTGGTGCCAGTAACAAAGATGAGGTAACTATTGTGAGAAAGCAATTCTTATAATATTTTTTTTTTTTTTATATAATTTTCTATAATAAAGTTATTGTGTTAGAAAAATTGTAATATATTTTGAGAGGAAACATTATAAGAGAAACCAGAAACAGTAATAAGTAATAAGAACCTAAACAGAGTTGTATTGGTAAGGTTCTAACCTTTGTGAATGAGTAAGCGAATGAGGGAATGAGTGAGTGAGTGAGTGATTGGGTGCGTGAGTGAGTTAAGATGTACTTTACAAAAAAAAAAAAAAAAAAAAAAAAAAAAAAAAAAAAAAAAAAAAA